GACAAACATCAACAACCCGATCTTCCTTCCTGATATTGTAGTACTTTTGAAGTTTTCTCACTGGTGAATGACGCATGATGTAGCCCAGCGGTTCCTAATTCCTGTCCTCGCGCCCCCCAGCTCTGCATATTTTGCATGTCTCGCTTAGCTAACACACCCGATTCAGATAACCAGCTCATTAGCAGTGAGCTACGTGCATGAACTGTGTTCCGATCGATATGATCCCTTCACAGTGTTCATTGCTCCCTCCTCACTGAGCGGGGGAAATACGTTGAAGTTTACTTCACTTCGGAACATGGGCTGGAATTGGGAACCGCTGATGTAGCCTATTGTAGTAATGTTGTCTCTGGTATTCTGGTCTGTGAGTGAGTGTATATGCATTCAGGGGGCGTGGCTTTAGATGGCGATTGCAGAGAAGGTGGGACATTCGCTTTCAGTGCTATCAGGCTAAAGTTAGCATTTTCCAAGATCTCCTACTGCGCCTTTAAATAATAATAAAGAAAAATGTATGTTCGTATTGTATTTTTATGGAATTTTGTAAAGTGGAAAGAGATTCAATTAACTATAAATAAAACAACAACAGTCATAAAGTTGTTTCCATTCTCTTTATTTATTCAGTCCTTACACTTCAAAGTTGACAATGTTTAGCATGTAAGGTTTCCAGTGATATCAGAACTATGAGAAATGTCACTAATTCACAATTAATGGTAACAATGTTGTTGTCTAAACCAGTTTTGAATCGTGTTTCACCTTATACAACAGGTGCAGAGATAAATTATAAAATTATGCAATGCTAACAACCTTTATCTCATGCTTTTGTAAAGAAAAAGGCGCAAGAATGGAAACCTGTGGAAAGAAACCAAAAAGTAGCTTTCAACTTTTGATACTGAACAAAACCCCCTCAAACCTTCAGAGGCATGTTTGATGACATCACCAGGGGTCACCACATTTGGCACACAAATGAATGTCACCAGATAACAACAAAAAACTTTTTCACAATTTTTTAAAAATTGCTCAACAAGTGTTTGGTCAGATTTTAGAAGCAAACTCCTACAGAGGAATGATTTATATCAAACTGCATGTTACCACACATGTAGTGCTTCGGTATCAAACAATATTCAACTGAATATTACGACTGGGCTCTGTAGCTATTCTCAATTAGAACCAATTTGTTTTGTTTTTTGCAAACCAAATGGAATAAAAAAAAAATTGTACAGCAGTAATATTTTTAATCTCAAGTAACAAGTCGTAAAAGCCAGCAATCCTTAACTTAGTAATGCTTTTAATAACGGCCTCCCATTCGATCTTTGTTTTTAAACTCAAAAGCTAATTTCAAGGAGCCAAATGGCTCTCCAGAGACTTCACCAATGACCTTACAGACACAAACATCAACAGTGAAAAGAAAAGGGGGGAAAGAAAGCCAAGAATTCACATTTTATAATTTCCCCATGACTGAGAAAAGGTGATGTGTAAGGTCTGTTGGTTTCTAGTTTATCTAAACACTTGTGACAAGAAAAATTCAACATCTGGGGCGGTCAACTTCAGTGAGGTCAGCCCTAGATTGTACATAGCTTAACAAACGTAAAAAAAATAAAAGCAAAGAAAAAAGTGCTTAAATCAAGAATGTGGCTTATGAACAGAAAACAGAGATAAAACACTAGAAACAAATCTTCTAATTTAATTTTGAGAGAAAAAAAAAAGAAAACAAAATATTTGCTAGTCAAATTCAGAAGACGTCACAATAGAGCTTAAATGAAAAAACAATTAGTAAAAAAGTAAATTAGTCTGATGAAAGCAGTACATTATTTCCTGGTGTCAGTTTAAGTTCATTATTGTTGCATATGGATCTTTTATAGAGGATTTGCGTGTCACAAGTGCCTCTCATTTTAACTGTGAAGGCATACGGTAACCTGCAGATTCAAACAAATATTTCAACTGTCCTTATCAGTGCTTTTGAAAAACTCATTCATTACCCAAAAGAACTGAGTGTGCAGCACACACTGACCTTTTGCTTTGTAATGGGTTTGTGTGCATAATAATACAACCTATAAGAAAATCACGAATCGATTTCAGCAAGCAGGTTTATTGCAACACATGGAGCATCTTTCTTAATAAAAGATCCTTGTTTGATCTAACCAAACAAGCCATGCTGACTCAATATGAAACCCATTTAAAACAGGATTTCATAAGCTGCTTATTTTTGAGCACTGAGAACTGAAACTAATGGAAATGCGGTAAAGCACAGCAATGAATTTTAGCTTAAGAAAACTGGTGGTATTGGCCAACGACAGCTTAAAATGGTTAGTATTGGTCCAATAGCAACCAATATCACAAACTATTTTTTTTAGTACACTTATCTTACCATTCAAGAGTGCAACAATTTATCACTGATAAGATCCCAGTCAATCTGTCATATTTCTGGACTTGGTCAACAAAGCAAATAACACTTTGCAAGTAATTTTGCATGCAATAAACTGACAATCTCAGTGCCTTAACACTGACTTTGATCAATCTGGCACAAAAAGGGGGAAAAAGATGAAACCCCCATCTAATGCACATTTTCTATGGGAAAAATTTAAGTCAGCATATGCGATTATAAACTAAAAGCGAATTCTTCCATTTGAGATAAAATAAGATTCAAAAATGCCATAAGACCAATCAAGTCACATTAAGTGTAAGCCAGTTGCTGTTTTTTGGCATAACTGCACATTTAATGGGTTATGAAAGTTGTCTCATCCCAAAAAAAAATCAGCCTTGTGTATTAAAATGGCTGTTTGAAAGATTATTATAAGACTGTTAGAATGCATCAGATGGCGAGTACACTGATGTTGGTTCTGCTTTTAACGTATCAGGTTTGTCACAAGAGCTGGTATCGTTTCCGTCACTTCCCTTTGATGGGAATCATCACAGAAGTATAGAAGAACTTGAGAGAAATACAGACTGAGAAGTTCCAGTTCTGTTGCAACAATCAAACCGAGGTCCATTCATTCTTAAAATCTTTAAGGCAGGTTCAGTGAGCCTTGACCGTGAAAGTCAACGGCTTATTCGGAGTGCAGCGGGATGACGAATTTACATCCGAAGGGGGAGTGGTATTTGATCCCCACTTCCTGGAACACCTGTCGGGGAATGCCAATGTCACACAGGTAGACTCGGCCGGCACCGTCAGATAGAGGCAGCGGGAGGCCCAGGGAAAGTGACCATTTTGCTTCCACGGCATGTGCCTGTCCACTTACTGGAGGGTCGATGCTCAGTACCGGGGCTCGGTTCTGATTGGCCCAGTCGGCGGCGGCCTTGTACCAGGGCTGCTCCCTCAAGAATCCGTTTTCATGCGAATCCAGGCAGTTTATGACCAGGTCAACTGGCGTCTCGGGCAAGTCTGAGGGTGAAATTTCATTTTGCGGATAAGACTAATGCAGTTTAATTTTTAACACAGACGCCATTTATGTATCATACACCTCCACTGGCTTTCAGAAGTGTTCTGGCATATTACGTGAGGAGCGGGGGTGGGTACAAAGTTAAACATGTTTTTGCAATTCAGAGTGGAAGTTTCCAAGTCTTTCGAAGCTCATCTAAACAAAGCATTCAGGTGGGTGTGTTAGGAAGATATGTGACA